CAATTACCGTTCGGTGATCAGAGCTTGATTGCTTTTGCCACACATATCGGCAGGAAGCAATTGGATCTTAGCGTCAGTGGCCATCGCATCTCGAAATATCTGTAGATGCAAATGCAGCTGAACAGGCTTGGTTCTTACGTTTACGTTTACGTTTTTGCGGCTCCCTTGGATGCCCAGATTACGTGATGAAAGTTGCGTACAATGATCAGTACTCCGCCATATCCAGCACCCGCAATACAGTGTCCACCTCGCCCTTGGCAAGGGCGATGATGGTGTTTGACAAAAGCTCGTTTTCTGCCCCTTCCAGGGCGTCTGGCTGCCACTCTCCGGACTCCGCAAGTCTGTATGTACTGTCCTTATGTACACCGGGCAGTTTTACGTTGTATTTACGTATTGTTACGCATTTTTACGCGCAAAAACGTAAAAGCTGTTTTTACGCGTAAAAACGTAAATACGATCAGCTTTTACGGCGTAAAAACCAAGCCTGCAGCTGAATGCGGACACATGACTGACGTCGTTTCGCAGCTGCTAGGGCTGTGCTTTGCCATCGTTAGTCCAAAGTAGTCAGGCATTTGAGCACCAGTAATATTCCTGGTCGGCAATGCAGACACAACCAAGGGCACCAGAGGTCGAAGGGAACAGCCGTTTTCTTCCGAATGATAACTTCAGTGTCCTGCGATTCGCTCTGTAGACGCGCGAGGCGAATTCCGCCGGCCTCGGCGCACGCGCAATCCACCCAGTGCCCAAGAGCCACAGTGGGGACCGGCGTTCGGTGCCGCAACTCGGCATTCAGAACTTACAGGTCATCCGCAAGGCGCACGCCATTTGAGATTTGAGTGCCGTGCAACGCGAACGGAGCTGCCCGGCGCGCGCGCCTCAAAGGCGCCCCGGCACGTGCCGCCTTTCCAGAAACCCTCCGGCTCTCGCAAGATTGACAACCCAATCCACCGCGACGACCACGCCACACGCCGTGCATAACCATGCAACACTGCGAATGGGACCACCGGTGAGGTTGATGGGCGGCGCGGCCTCCGCAAGCCGCCACGGCGTTCTACACCGCGTCGAGAGAGCAACGTCGCCCGGTGACTGCTCCTTTCGCTGCGCACGTACCGATCAATTGGGCGCACGGTCTAGACTGCGGCCGAGATATCGTCCATCAGTTCAACTTCACTGGCCCTGAACCCACATTTGGCTCTGGCGAAAGCCGAGAATCAACACTCCAGCCTTCGCATCGCACTCGCGATCACCGCCAGTTCCGCTTCATGGCAGTGAACACGCCCATGGCGTTGGAAAAAGCAGTGGACAGCATTCCAGCCTTTGCGTGCCATTCGCGGTGGTCACCGGTCACGCTTCTTCGGCCGTGAGCCCGCCCATGGCGTCGGCGAAAGCACAGGACAGCATTCCAGCCTTTCCATGCCATTCGCCATGGCCACCGGCTACGCTTCTTCGGCCGCGAGCCGGCCCGTGGCGTCGACGAAAGTACATCTGCCAGCTTTCCATGGCACCCGTGAGAGCGCGCTGCCAGACTGGCGCCGCGGCTATGGGAGAAGATCCGCGTGGATCGCATGCATGCGCATGGCCGAACGGCGCCCATCGCGCTATCCGACCTCTCACCCGAAAGTGCACGGGCTTCCGCAGCCAGCAAAGCCCCCAGCCCAGGGCCACCAGAAATGCAGCACTGTGGGCCATGATCGGGCTTCAGGACAGCGGCAGAACAGAACAGCAGCTCCCGCCACCTCCTTGCCTCACTGCATGCAGATTGTCGGCCGCCTTCGGCACTGCGGATACCCTTCTGGGACTGTTGCCCGCACCGCCGCCCCTGCACCTCGTTGCGGCGTGGGCGCACGGCTGGACAGGGTGTATGTCCTCATTTGCAGTACGCGCGAGAGCAACTACGTGGTTACTCCTCAGTTGCACTGCGCCGTGTATTGGACCGCCACGAGAGAGCGCCGACGCCTACGGCGGCACCATTTTCTGCCCGTATGCCGGTCAGGCGCGCGCATACTCTCGGCCACCAGATCCGCTTCGGCTCTTGCACGGCTCTGGCGACAGCAATGAGACAACATGCCATCCGCAACACGGCACTCGCGATGGCCACCGGTCCAACTGCATCAGCCACGACCCCGTCCGTGGCGTCGGTGAAAGCGTAAGGCAACGTTCCACACTTTCCAAGGCGCGGCTGAGGGCGCGCTGCCAGAATGACGGCCCCGCCCATGTGCTGACATCTATGTGCATCGCCGAATCGGGTCCTTCCCTAGACCCTAAACCCTCACCCAAAGGGCTGCCGGCTTCCGCAACCACCGAGGCGGCCAACCCAGCGGCCACCAGGGCAGCCGCACGATGGGCAATGCTCCGGCGGAAGCAAAGACAGGAGGTCCCCGCGCCTGCTGTGCCTCACTGCATGAAGATTGCCAATCGCCTTCGGCACTGCGGATGCCCTTCTGGGCCCTTGCGCACTGCCGGCCCTGCACCTCGTTACGTCGTGCGCGCACGGCTGGACTGTGCTCGTGCCCATCTCAGTACACTCGAGAAGAGATACGTAGTTAATACTCATCTGCGGTACACCGTATGCGGTGTACGGCGCCTGGATTGTCATGGAGGGCCACTGTCAGCTCACTTTGTTGATGACGATGAATAGATCCCCGTCGCTATGGAGAGAGTGTTACTCAACTGTACGTAATCAGTACGTCATACGCACTACGCACCAGTCCATGGACCGACCGATAAGAATCGTGAGGCACTCTTGATGTACCACATATCCTGCCCCAGGCGTACACGAAAGGCTCCCATTTTCTCGATCGATGCAGCCGCAGGCGTATGCCAGTTGATATCTGTAATGCAAGCCTCGTTGAATTCAAACGTAAAGAATCACAGTCACTGCATGCAACGGACCGGACCTGTCGCCCAGGCGTGAGTGGGTATGTGTGCATGCGCAATTAGCGCCTGCACGTGGCGTTTCCGTTTCTCCATATCAGCGCGTGTTTATGTCTAAAAATGCTCTATTTGTACTTAAGGTTTGAAAGTCTGCGCCTAGCGGAGTCTGGGCAGCGACAGCCGTGCACTCTCGTGCACTGGGGTCCGCCTGCATGGTGGGCGCAGGATAGCCATCTTCCAGATCGCGAGAAACACTCAGCTGCATTCCAGAAAATATCTAAATTACAGTCTGGCATCTCCCACCACGTCAGCGCGATCCTGAAACTCGCTGCAATGGTTGCCTCCACACCGAACTCGTTCTGAAATAAGCACCGGAGCCAAATAGTTGCCAAGACGTTCACACTCTAATCGCGAGGCCTCGTCTCTCCCCAGCCACCAGGCAGCATTGCATTTGCACAGTGCCCTCTGGATGCGCGAACGCGCCATCGATGCTTGAATTCGAGTTGCGCCTGCCCCGTGCCAGGCCATCCTTCCAGAATCCACAAAAGATTGGACGGCTAACTGGATAATATTGACGCTGAACCTAGGGACCATAGCAATAAACGATTTTCCCACGTCTAGCCACGTGTAAGAACGATTGACCTGAGTGGTTTGAAAGCCCGTCATTGACATGGTCGCCACCGCGTCAGGATCGTTCCACGCACATTTCCGTGTGAAGCTCTCTTGCGACCAGCCTCAGGACCAATGTTGTATGGCGGAGAATTCTCCGCCAATCCTTCGACGGATTTCAGCTTCTGGGGTATGTATACCCATATATGCATGTACATTTTGTGAATTTTGAGGTTTAATGGTAGTACTATCTGATTGGCATTGACGACATTGAAGATTTACAAGCAATAGACAAGAAAAGCACAGCAAGACGCAGCAATCGTAAAGCCATAGCTCACCCCTTTTCGAAGTTTGTGCCCGTGCCCAAATCCATTTCCTTTTCAGTTTATAACGATGCATCCATTATTGCCGTTGTCACCCCGGGCGATCGAATTCTTGGGGAGCTCAGATTCGAATGAACCAAGGACCGGACATTTTGCTCAACACGTTTTAGTGAATCCCGCGTTCGAATTGTGCCGCGAACTGGCACCGACTCTGCTGATTGAGGGAGTTCCGGTTCTAGTAATCGAATGCCAATCGGAAACATATGTTTTAGACATGGCCGCATAGCCGCGCGGCGCGGTGCCTTGAGCATATTGCATACAATGGGCAAAGCGCACGTACGCAAAACGGCGGGGATATCGTGCGAGTCTTGGCATGGACGTTGATATACACACTCAACAAGCGATTAGTAATGGATCACTGGCTACTTGTTCAATGGTTCATGCAATAAAAAAAGTCAGTGTACTTTTGTGAAACCCGAAACGAAAATAAACCATCACGCAGTGTGAATTTTGCTTGGGGGAAGCCAGGATGCCCAGCTGGAGGGCACAGCGTTACAGGCCATTATATGCCACATCTGTAACAAATGAAATCCAGTCGTCTGAATGTAAATTATTCAATCACACGCCTCGCTGGAGTTGCGAGTCTCGCCTAGCATGAATCGACGGCTGTGGAGGTGGAATTCGACAAAACTTCTATCCAGCAATGATGCAATTATCCGACTCACGATGGCGCCATCAAACGGTGAACAGGCACAGCCGCAAAACGATTCTGCCTCCCCCCATATAACAACAACACCATCTAAATGCGGAGTAGCCCGGCCAGCGCATTGTTCATTTGTTTTCCTGGACTATACCCGATTGCCAGAGCTCAAAACCTTCCAACCACATCTTGTCAGTGGAATTTATTCCACCAAGCTCAACGAGCCGTGGATCTTCCTTCGACCTGAGCGCGCCATGGCGCTTCCTTCCTATAAATACCCACACAACATACACTGGCAGGAAACACCGCCCTTGCGATTCCAACCGCGATGCCTCTTGAGACTAAGCCCTCTTGAGACTGACGGCACGGCGCCAACACAGTGACTGATATGGCATGAACTACCTTTGACTGCATCGAAAAGCTTCAGATGGCCACGCATCTGGCGCTGCCCGAATGTCGTTTTCTGCTGGCGATTGTGCCCTCACGCGGCTCGGTCACTTGTTGGCAAAGTCGCCAACGATGTCTGCCACGTCCGCCACGACGCCTACAACCGACCCCACGCCCCTGGCCAAATTCGTCAGCCTCTCTCCCACCGGGGGCCTGGGCCTGTCCCTGATGTCCTGGATCGTCTGCTGGACAAAGTCCAGAAACGTGGGAGGCTCCGCGGGCGGCTCTGCAATGAAGCCAGGAAAGAAGCCAGGCTGTCCGGGAAATCCTCCCCCTTGAACGGGGAACGCACCCGCTTGACCGTTGAAACCACCGGCTTGACCATTGAAGGCGCCGGCTTGGCCGTTAAAAGCACCGGGCTGGCCAGTGAATGCACCGCTTTGGCCGTTAAATGCTCCGGCTTGGCCGTTAAAGGCAGCAGCTTGGCCGTTGAAAGCGCCTTGTTGGCCACTGAAGGCACCTCCTTGGCCGTTGAATGCACCGGGTTGGCCATTGAAGGCACCGGCTTGGCCGTTAAAGGCGCCGGCTTGGCCATTGAAGGCACCCGTCTGGCCGTTGAACGCGCCTGGCTGGCCACTGAAGGTACCGGCCTGGGCATTATTTCCCTGCTGATTGAATCCCGCCTGGGCGAATTGCAGCAATTTCCTCGCCCTCTGGGGGTGGTTTTCGATTCCTTTTATTGGAAGCGCCTCCGGACCTGTCAAAGACGCGTAAAAGAATGTGTTCAGAGCTGAACGGCTGGCCGCCTTGTGAATCGGCATATTTTTGGTGGGTCGGCCGTTGCGCTTGTTCCTTTTCATCCTTTTGTCATAGAATTTGAGTCCAAACTGCGTCCCCAATTTTGCATGAAAGACTATACGAATTTGGTCCAACTTCCAAAAATTTCACAAACATTTGAAAAACCAAGAGGCGACCCGAAAGGTGCAAAAATGCGCGCATGATCTTCAAAATCTGTGTCTCGAGTACGTGCATGGAGATTGAATTTATCATGCATGGAAACATCGGACTCCGGGCCATGTCCGGCTTGATAAATAGGTATGGCGCCATACTGGGCCCAGTGCAAGCTTCAATGCAAATGTTTGCAATGGCGTGTGGTAATTTTGGAGCAATACGCAGTGCAAATCGCAGAGATCGCAGGTGCCTGCATGGGAATCACGCTGCGAGGCTTCGCAGAAGCAAAAGGTTTGTCCGGTGCCGATCGTATCTGGATACGCAAATTTCGTGAAGATCATGAAGGGTACGAGGGCACTAAAAACCTGAAACTAAGTGATGCTGAAACGAAATGACTTTCACGGCATTCATGCTGGAAATGAATGGCATTGGACATTCGTGGCTGGGTCCGAATGTCCAAACCTGGGTGGCTTCTCTTGAAGGCCTTCCTGGCTGAATTTCGTGCATGTGGATCTGAACCGATTCGGAAATTTTATCCACGGACGCCATACCAACAAAAGCATGTTGCAATGTCTCTAGCTGGACAAAATATCCCAAGTAGGTCTGCTATGAGGTTTCCTCGCCGGCGCTTCAAAAACAACTCGGACAGAAAATTTCGATTCGCTCGCATATGGCAACGCATAAGGCAAGGCAAGGCCTCGATGTGCGGATTAGCGTGCGCTGAAAACGACTTCTCCCCCCCCACCCCTCCCACCACCACCACCCTAGGGCTGCGATCGCAAGAAAGACCCTGCCTTCGACGCGCCAACCAGGCAGGGGCCCCCACAGCAGCGCTCAGATGCCGCCACTCAGAACAGGCCACTGGCCATTCGCAACCCATATCGTGAGAGCCCCGGTGCGCCAGGCGTCACATGCCGCGTGTTGCGGTGACCGACCCCGCGATTGTCGCCGCCGAACGAGACGCTGAGGAGGTCAGAGCTTCTGTTTTCAGAGCGACAAATCGATTTCCCCGCCAATTGGCGGGGCCACAGATGGGCGGGCCAGCCTTTGCGCAGGCTGGCGCGCGCATTCGGGCCGTCCCCCATGCGCCCCGCGCATCCCGGGTGGCGAATTGGTGCAAAGGATGATGCGTGGGCGCCCCGCGAAACTGCTTGGCAAGGAATCAGCGCCCAGGCGCACGCGGTATGCAAAAGTGTCCGTGGATTGTCAGTGGATACATGTCATACATGTCAGTGGATTCGATTCTGAAGCCACCAACACCAGGCAATCACACGCTGTGGGCATGAACCCACTCCCACGTCCAAATCAGGGCAGGCAGGCAGCCAGGCAGGTGTCAACATTGTCGCGCTGGCGCTCCGCCAGGCCGCGCCGGGACCAGCGTCCGCGGCCTCGGATCCATGCGCATTCCCCGTGGGCCCGGATCCATGCGCATCTCCCACCCCAAGCTCACCATGCGATCCAGCGTCTTCTGCAGAGGCGCCGTTCGCGCGCACCGCCAGGATGGCCGCCAGGGCCGCGGCTGCCCACAGGCAGCGGGTAAGCACCATGCCGACCCGCTTCACAGAGAGGGGCTGAACTTCTCTCTCTCAAAGATTCGAAACCTGTGGCCCCATGAGCAGGAGCTCCTCTCCTCGAACACGCCTCCTCGACTCCCCACCCCCTTCGCGGTCCAATGCGCTCCCGGACTCCGCTTTATGCAGGCGTGAGCATACCCTGCATGCCCATGTTGGACGTCAAGAGGATACGGCAACGATGTTGCCGGCGATGGAATGCCGGCACTCATTACGTCCCATCTCTCGCGATGCTCGCACAATGCTGCCGGAGAATTAGTACCCTGTCCGCATCGGCGCGTGGCAGCAATTTGGGCGAGCGGCGCGCACGGCAGGGGCAGACATTGGACCTCGAACCAGTTCCTGTCACAACAGCGAACTGAATCGGTGCTGGTCGGTACTTGCGTCACGATATTCCGGAATATCGTATGTACAGGATCCTGTACATTCGAGACACTGGTAACTTTGAACTCGCCGAACCAGTGCGCGTCTGACCGCAGCGTTTCGTGGAAGGATGGATCGATTCAATCACGGAATCGCAGCAGAAGGAAAGGGGTGTCAAGAAGCCACCAGTTCCTTGTAAACTGCTTAAAGGAGTGGCGCCAGTGCCGAGCTGTAGGCGCGCGGTTATCGTCACGGGAGGACGCGAAAGGGGATCGACGCATTATTGGTCCTGCCGACGGCGCTCTGGCGTTCGCTCTGGTGCCATCAATTCACGAATCCGTTCCGATGGAGTTTGCCATGAATAAAAGCCCCAACGCTCAGTAGGTTGCGTTTCAGGCGTCTCCAAGTTGGGCAACAAAAGTGCTTATTCACACGTGCGCTTGGAGGGACATGCTGCATATGCCGGCACTGGTATCGCAAACCGTGTTGTACCGTGGGCGGCGCGTTTGAAACCTCGAGTAGGGGCTTCCTGTACTGACGATTCCCGACGTGCCAGAATGATGGCGACCATCCAAGCATTCCCTTGGCACAAGTACTAGCATGCGGTCGGGAATTGGCCGAAGTCATCGCTGGAATGAGCAATGCACGTGCCACTGCATCCTAGAGGCGAAATGCCGCGTTCTCCTCAAAGGGCGACAGGGTTGTCTCCATGCTTGCAGACTGCTGCTCGGCATCCACACTAAGCGTGGCATAACAGCAGAAAGGGCAAAAGAAGTGCACAAGCGAAGTGCAAGAAGCGCTGAAGTCTTCATGCTTCTTGCACTTAATTTGCACACTTCTTTTGCCCTCTCTGCTGCGATGACCCATCCCCGCGTGATTTGAGTTGCACAGGGAAGGGAGTGTTTTTTTGAGTGGGAACACACCCGGGGAGCGGCAAGGCTGTGCGGTATATGCGCTGTCATGTAAGAACGCTGCGCGATCACCTCGGCGTTAACAGGAGATTGACGACCATTTCGATGGAATGACTTAGTGAGTGTTTATAATAAGTGAGTTATTATAATAAAACTTATTATGTGAGCACCAAACTCACTGGCTGGGCGCTAAAACCGAATCCAACACGTCTGACGCGCCACCGGGATGGCCACAGGGGTCCATAGATGCATGCGCGCAGCAAGTGTCGCAAACGGCTGTGGAATATTAATTGCATTTGTGCACAAAATTGGCGCCTGGTATCGCTCATTCTACACTTCGTGACTGGGGTTGCCTTGGGGACAGTCTCATCTACTCTTGTAGCGGATGTACATTCAATCAATCAAATGTCATGTCATAATTAAATGCAAGTTAGCAAAACAACAGCTACCTTCAAACATGTCAGAGCCAGGCAATAAAAAAGACACATAATACTTGCAAGGGAGCAACAGATAAGAAAATTTGGGGCACGTGCTGCCAAATGTCTTGGCTCCGGATTAATCTGTGCGTTCACGATACGAGCTGGGCCCACAATTATTCATGCCGCCGAATAGGCATTTTGAGGAAGCCTTAAAGCAGCATATGCCACCAGGGACTTCGAATGCACCTCACCCACGAGTATCGCAGTGTGTCGGGCAGCATGTCGGGCAGTGCAGTTTTCGCGCGGGGCAGTGTACTTGTTGCTTGGGCCATGAAATTTCTTACATTTTTCTCCCCGCATATGGGTATTTGAGGACAATCTAGATTTTTAGGTGCTTTTCACAGTATGTTAGCCACAACACAGGTGCTGATGACGGTGTGCATTTTCGACCTGCTGTCTCGAGCACGTTGCCGCACCCATCTGAACGCTGAATTGCGTATTGCTCCTTACAGAACCCGGTGACTGCATGATCATCTTTAAGTTGCTAACTACCCCGGTGGAAATACCAAAAGCATGTACTGCTCTTCTATGCCAATCAGACTCGAAAACACAAATGACAATGCCAACACTGCGGCAGCATGTTGAGCGGCAGCATGGACATCAGGCCGCAAGAACACAACGTTACGCTGTGTTACACGAAAAGGTCTTGGGGGCATGAAACCTCAAATATATCGCGTATGAGTACAATTGTTCGGCTCCAATTTGTGGATCGGCAATTATTCAATCGCACGCCTCCCTCGGCCCGTGCGACGGCCACCCTGATGAACCCAACTGCTGCGGCTGTGCAATAACATATATCTCGAATCCTTCCGCCACATATTCTATTTTCTCCAATAATTCAATTGGACATTCATCCGGCTTGGGAGCCACCTCAGCACATGCGCCGGCCTGAAATGCACCGACGCCACTGCTGAAATCTCCTCCAAGGGAAAATGCCCGCAGCAAAAGTGCAGCCTCGAACGGGTCCTCATTTCCCATTTATTCAACCAGGCCTTATACAACTCCCCACGAAGGACCAACTGCGCAGACCGCGTTTCGTGCGTGGAGCGTATTCCGCCAGTTTTAGCGTGAGCTGTTCCTCTTTCCTATGGGTAGCGACATGACCAGGTGCAGGCTCCTAACCTAATCATCTCTGATATCCGCAATGTCGTCAACAACGTCCACCACATCTGCAGCGACGCTGACAGCCTCGCCTATGCCGCGGGCGAAGTTCGTCAGCCTTTGCCCCAAAGGGGGCCTCGGCCGATTTCTGAATTCCCGAATCCTTTGAATCATGTACTCGATGAGCGAGGGAGGTTCCGTCTGTCCGCCAAACGCCCCCGCCTGGGCAGGGAATGCACCTCCTTGGCCATTGAATCCACCCACTTGGCCGTTGAAACCACCCTGCTGGTTGTTAAAACCGACAGCTTGGTTGCTGAATCCACCAACCTGATTGTTAAACCCCCCTCGTTGGTTGTTGAAACCACCACCTTGGTTGTTGAA